AGCTGCACCTGAACCCCAAATCTGCACCTGGAGCCCGAATCTGCACCTGGAGCTGCACCTGGAGCCCAAATCTGCACCTGGAGCCCAAATCTGCACCTGGAGCTGCACCTGGACTCCAAATCTGCACCTGGACTCCAAATCTGCACCTGGACCCCAAATCTGAACCTGGACTCCGAGCCTGCACCTGGAGCTGCACCTGGAGCCCAAATCTGCACCTGGAGCCCCAGTTCTGCACCTGAGGCCCCAATTCTGCACCTGCAGCCCCAAGTCTGCACCTTTCATACTTCAATTGCCCAAATTCACACCTAGTTCAAACCCTGCAGGTGAACACATCCTGGACTGGGGCTGAGCTGGGGGAGGATGAGTTAAGGAGGGGACAACGAGAGCATCAAGGTCACCTCTGTCGGCCAGGCACCACACCTGGAGCTCCAAATTTTGCATCTTTTGGTGTCAAATCTCCCGAATTCTATTTCAGAACCCTCCTGCAGCAGGTGCTGCACCTGCAATCCTAAATCTACACCTTTTGTACTGAAACCCCTCACCTTGAAGCCCATGGATGGGACAGGCTGGATTTGGGCTGGATTTGGGCTGGATTTGGGCTGGATTTGGGCTGAGCTGGGGAGGGGGCAAAGGGAGCTCCAACCTCCACAGTTTCAGCCAGGTGCCACACCTGGAACCTCAAATCTTCACCTTTTATGCTCAAATGCCCCAAGTTCAAGCCCATTTCAGAGCCCTCCTGCAGCCCCAGATCTACAGCGGGTGCCACATCTGGAGCCCCAAATCTACAGCGGGTGCCACATCTGGAGCCTCTAATGTACACCAGGTGCCACACCTGGAGCCTAAATCCACAGCAGGTGCCACACCTGGAGCCTAAATCCACACCTTTGTTACTCCGATTACCCAACTAAAATGCATTTCAGATCTCAGGTGGGTGGGACTGGCTGGATCTGGGATCCTCGGAGTGGGCAAAGGGAACTCCAACCTCCCCTGCTGCAGCCAGGTGCCACACCTGCAGCCCCAAAACTACATCAGGAGCCACACCTGGAGCCCCAAAACTACATCAGGTGCCACATCTGGAGCCCCAAATCTGCACCAGGTGCCACACCTGGAGCCCAAATCTGCACCAGGTGCCACACCTGCAGCCCCAAAACTACATCAGGTGTCACACCTGCAGCCCCAAAACTACATCAGGTGTCACACCTGCAGCCCCAAATCTACACCAGATGCCACATATGGAGCCCAAATCTGCACCTGGTGCCACACATGGAGCCCAAACCTACACCAGATGCCACATCTGGAGCCCCAAATCTACCTGGACCTCACCTGTTGCAAGCACGTGCCACACCTGGAGCCCCAAACCTACACCTGGGGCCACACCTGGAGCCCCAAATCTACACCAGGTGCCACATCTGGAGCCCCAAATGCACAAGAGGTGCCACACCTGGAGTCCCAAATCTCCACCTGGGGCCACACCTGGAGCCTCAAATCTGCACCTGGTGCCACATATGGAGCCCAAATCTGCACCTGGTGCCACATCTGGAGTCTCAAATCTACCTGGACCCCACCTATTGCAAGCACGTGCCACACCTGGAGCCCCAAATCCGCACCTGGGGCCACATCTGGAGCCCCAAATCTGCACCTGGTTCCACACATGGAGCCCAAATCTGCACCTGGGGCCACATCTGGAGCCTCAAATCTGCACCTGGTGCCACATCTGGAGCCTCAAATCTGCACCAGGGGCCACATCTGGAGCCTCAAATCTGCACCTGGTGCCACATCTGGAGCCTCAAATCTACCTGGACCCCACCTATTTGCAAGCACGTGCCACACCTGGAGCCCCAAATCTGCACCTGGGGCCACACCTGGAGCCCCAAATCTACACCTTGTGCCACATCTGGAGCCCCAAATCTACACCTGGTGCCAGATCTGGAGCCCCAAATCTGCACCTGGGGTCACACTTGGAGCCCCAGTTCTACCTGGACCTCACTCGTTGCAGGCACGTGCCACACCTGGGGCCCCAAATGCACAACAGGTGCCACATCTGGAGCCCCAAATCTGCACCTGGGGCCACATCTGGAGCCCCAAATCTGCACCTGGTGCCAGATCTGGAGCCCCAAATCTGCACCTGGGGCCACATCTGGAGCCCCAAATCTGCACCTGGTGCCACACCTGGAGCCCCAAATCTGCACCTGGTGCCACACCTGAAGCCCCAAATCTGCACCAGGGGCTACACCTGGAGCCCCAAATCTGCACCTGGTGCCACACCTGGAGCCCCAAATCTGCACCAGGGGCTACACCTGNGGTGCCACACCTGGAGCCCCAAATCTGCACCAGGGGCTACACCTGGAGCCCCAAATCTGCACCTGGTGCCACACCTGGAGCCCCAAATCTGCACCTGGTGCCACACCTGGAGCCCCAAATCTGCACCTGTGCTACTCAAGTGCCCCAGGCCGGAGCCCGTCGCAGCTGCAGCCCAGCTGTGCGCCTCCTCCTCGGCCGGCCCGGCCGCAGCGCGGGGCCGGGCCGGGCCGGGCCGGGCCGGGCCGGGCCGGGGCCGGGCCGGGGCCGGGCCGGGGGCGGGGCAGGCGCCGTTACCTGCGGTTACCTGTGAGATTGGCTACGGGCGGTTTGAAAATCGCCCCCGCGGGTGCCGCCGGCGTCAGTCCCGGGAGCGCGGCGAGCGTTGCTGTGGGAATTGTCACCAGGGCCAGCGCCTGCTGGCCTGTCACCTGACCTGCAATACTGATGGGGATAAGAAGAGGTTGAGTAACTGTCCCTGCCGGAACCATTACTCCTGTCACACCTGTGGCTAAGCTTTCCTGAGCCAACACCTGCGGAGATAAATGAGATTTGAAAGAGAAACACAAATCAACGCCCTGCTCAGCATCAGGGAAACCCCCACAGGGCCCCCCCGCCCGGCCCGGGACACCCCTCTGGGGAGGGGGCAAAGGGGGAACTCCCCGTGAATCCCTCTGGGGGGGGGAAAGGGGGAGCCCCCCTGTCTGGGGAGCCCCTGGGGGAAGGGGGATCCGGGGGACCCTTGGTGAACCTCTGGGGAGGGGGGGGGGCGGCAAAGGGGGAGCCCCCCTCAACTATGAACCCCTCTCCGTGGGGAGATGGGGGGAGCTCTGTGAAGTGGGGGGCACTGGGGGGCTGTGGAGGTGCCTCTCTGGAGGGGACAAAGGGGGGTCCCCCCCTACTGCTGACCCCCCGCTCTGTTGGGGATGGGGGCAGAGAGGGGATCCCCTTTACCTCGGGGTCCCCCCCAACACACGACCCCTTCTCCCTAGGGAGCCAAGGGGCACCTGGGGCCTCTCTCCCCCCCCAGGTCTGCGTGGGGGGACAAAAGGGGTCCCCCTTACCTGGCCACCCCCTCTCTGCGGACACCTCCCCCGGGGTCCCCCCTGGCCCCAGCCCCGGGCACAGTTACCTGCGGGGCGGCCTGCACGGCCAGGTGCGTCACGCCGGGCTGGCTCGGGGCGGGGCTGGACGGCACCGGGGCGGGCGAGGCGGCTTTGGCTTTACCTGCGGGAGAAACGGGTGGGCTGAGAGGGAGACCCGGGGGACACCGGGAACGATCCCGGGAGGGAGAGACCCGGAGGGAGCGATCCCGGGAGGAGAGACCCGGGGGACACCGGGAACGATCCCGGGAGGGAGAGACCCGGGGGAACTGCCGGGAACGATCCCGGGAGGGAGAGACCCGGGGGAACTGCCGGGAACGATCCCGGGAGGGAGAGACCCGGGGGGAACTGCCGGGAACGATCCCGGGAGAGAGAGACCCGGGGGAACTGCTGGGAACGATCCCGGGGGCACCGGGAACGATCCCGGGGTACGCAGGGAACGATCCCGGGGGCACCGGGAACGATCCCGGGGGCACGGGGAACGATCCCGGGGTACGCAGGGAACGATCCCGGGGGCACCGGGAACGATCCCGGGGGCACGGGGAACGATCCCGGGGGCACGGGGAACGATCCCGGGGGCACGGGGAACGATCCCGGGGGGCACCGGGAACGATCCCGGGAAGGGGGGGTCTCTCACCTGCCGCCTCCCCGCCGGACGAGCTCGGGGTGCTGGCGGGAGCGTCCTCCACACCTGGGGGGCCCCCCTGTGCCGGGGACCCCCCCGCTCCCTCCCCGGCCGTTTTGGGGTCCCCATCCACCCCCACCTCCAGCACCCGGATGGTCTCATGGCTGGACATGACAATGACCTGCAGACGGACCCCAAAATTAGCTCCAGGTGCGTCACCCCGCGGCGTGTCCCCCAGGGGCTCCCCCCCCCCGGTTTTGGGGTGCAGAGTCCACTTGGACCCCGGAGGAGCGAGGAACAGCTGGGGGAGTCCCAGCCCCCGAACACCTCAGGGCTTTGCTGTCCGCACCCCAACTCCGGGGCCGCCCCCGGCTGACACCTTGGGCAGCACCCCCAAATTCACAGCACCCCCACACGCAAAGCACGCCCTTGCCTGCAGCACCCCCAAACCTACAGCAAAGCCTCCACAGCTGCAGCACCCCCAGAACGGAACCGGCACCCCAAAACAGAGCTGGTATCCCCAAAACGGAACCGGCACCCCAAAACGGAACCGGCACCCCAAAACAGAGCTGGTATCCCC